TTGTCGTTAGCGTATTATTAGCGAAAAGAGAAAAAGAGATACCGAGTCGTTAGGGAGGAAAGTAGCTCGCAACGGCGAGGCTTTCGACTTTTCGCAACGCTCGGATTACCGCAAAGTAATGCTTTAGCGCGAAGTAACTTTTCCCGATGCAGAGACCCTCCCCTCATCTGCGAGCGCATTATTTATAGGACGCCTCAGTAATACGCGGGTACGATCGATTCGCGCGAGAGGGAGAGACAAGGGAGAGAAAAACCATGTTCCATTTCGCTTTTGTTCCATTTTCATTTGTCAACGCGATTCCCAGCTGGGAAATTTTGCAAAATACGCTCGTTGTTTTGTGCGTTTATCGCTCGGAAGCGTTCTCCCCCTCTCTCTCTCTCTCTCTCTCTCTCTCTCTCTCTCTCTCTCTCTCTCTCTCTCTCTCTCTCTCTCTCTCTCTCTTTCTCTCTTTGTCCTTCGCGGCGGGTATCGCCGCACGTATTACGTGTGTACATACGTTACAGAAAACAAGTACATACATTGCGTGTACGCACCCACGAGAGCACAGCCTGGAGGGGGGAGGGGGTGGGTTCATTTATGCGGCATCACGTCTGTGTTGACCATTGGGGAAAATGTCACGGCGACGCTGGCCGCGGTCGATGCAACACGTCGCGATATATCGCCGCTTTGTATCTTCGCGACGTGGCGTTTGTTTTTTATCGCTGAAGCAGCTTGCGCTTCCGCTTGACTCGAAAAGAGACGGGCGTACGGTTGGGACTTTTGCTGGAAGGACGAGGGGAAGAGGTCCGGTGCAAGCTAGTACGGGCAGTTCTCAGCGAGAAGAAACAAACAAACCGCCCCGAGAGAGAACGGCCGTTGTCTGTCTGTCTCGCTGAAAGCGGAATGCGCTGCGCTACGCGCAAACGACTCCGCTAACACGTTGACCACCCTGGTGACAGACGCTATACGATACCTTGACGCAGCCCGTTGACTCGGACGTGGAGGCGCAACGTGTGGCAGAATAAATTTGTGGCCAACGACGGGAAGCCGATGAAACGGGCTGATCATAGATTTATATAGATAGACTTATGGGCGCGCTGAAGACTACATTAGAGGACAGAGCTATTGCGTGAGTGAGGCTCTCTCTCTCTCTCTCTCTCTCTCTCTCTCTCAGGAGAGGGGGGAAAACGACACAAGGGGAAAGATAATGTCGGGTGCGGTCCAGCGACCGCTACGAATGCTTCGAAGCGTTTCTCTGTTCTATTCTATTTTTCGGATAAGTCGTAACACTGATTAAAGCAACCAGAGTTTAAATCTAACAAGGTCAATTCATTTGCGAACTATAACCTTTGTACAAATGTCCTCCTATTCTCCTCTTCGGCTTCCCGCACCAAGACGCATGTTAAACAGAGACACACTCACTCAGCTATCGCTCCTCTCACTTTAACCCTTTCACTGTTAGTGGGAAGTATACTCCCCACCTTTTCTTGATTCAATTTTGCGTTGTAGATCACGTTGTAGATCATAATTTTGAAGAACTAATCGGGGATGTAAGTTTTCCAGGTAACTGAATAGTTGTTCAACATACTCCAATAGGTTTTTATACCCAATTATTCATTTGTGATTATTTATAACAAACCAAAATTGAAAAAAATGCTTTTTTTTTTTTTTTTTTTTTTTTTTTAGGGAAAAATTGATTCCTCGAAGAATATTGAATGTAGGGGTCTGAAATTTTTACGAAATATTTTTCTGATGTTGCGCAAAAATATATATTTTTTTCACTATTTTTTTGCAGGTTAGATTTTTTTTTATAAACAAATATTTCTACAAAAACGGCCGAAATTTGATTTTTTGCACTTTTTAGCTCTATTTTCTTAGCTTTTTTATTCTGTACCCCCATCTTATCCATACTATCAATATTGTTTTACTCAAAAATAAATGTTTAATCTCCAGTCAGCATAAATATGCAGTATTGAATATTTTCCCACATTAATTCCGCCATTTTGAATTCGGTAAATCTGACTTCAGATTCAGCGACCGTAATCACGACCCGACTTCAGTAATCAGCGATCCGAAAAACCCATACACCATCAATAATAATTGGAATTTTCATTAATTTTGTACATCATGATCGCCATATTGAGTCCGCCATTTTGAATTTTGCAAATCTGACTTTAGATTCGTAATCAGCGATCCAAAAAACATAGGACTATCAAATATTTTAATAATTTTCTCAAGGGAAGTTAATTCAGCAGTGAAAGGGTTAATATTGTCTTCAAGTCCTCTCATGGGACGCGCGCAGTCTATCTATAAGTTTATGGGGCTGACGAATGGGCGGTTCGCGCGAATCGCATTCACTCGGCGCGCATCTCGAGTGGAGTTCAGCGGAGAAAGCTGCCTCGCAACTGTCGCGAGATCTGTCGTGAGTTTTCTGGTGCATGAGGGTTCTGAGATGAACTCGAAGCTAAGAGATGTGGGAGAATTCGACAACGGTTGCGAAGCGGTTCTCTCTCTCTCTCTCTCTCTCTCTCTCTCTCTGCCGAAACGCGGTCGATCGGTAGAAATCAGCGCGAACCGCAGGCGGCGCGTTAATAGAAAGAGAATCGATTGGACGCGATGACGACGCGGTGTACGCCTCTCCGTTGCCCCCATTCTCCAATTTCCGTTTGATCGTATCAAAGGTATCCCGCGAATAAATCGCTCGCAGGATAAAGCCTGCTGAAACGGGATCTTGCCGATTAAACGCAACTCGACACCGAGAGACGCGCTCTCCCAGTTCCGTTCTCTTCTTCTGCCTTTCTCTCTCTCTCCTTTTCTCTCCTCGCCTTGCCTCTCTCTCTCTTTCTCTCTTTTCCTTTCTTCCTCGAAAGTCTCAGGTCGATGAGCACCCGCGAGCGAACGACGTTCGCCCGCTCATTTGTTCGCGGTACATTTCCGCGGGCGTCGAAATGATCGGCGGAGACAGAGCGGCGGGGGGATGGGGGGATAATTCCCTCGGAAAACATCTCGCTTTCGACGTATGTACGGATGTGTGCGCACGCGATATCGACGGAAAGGATGCTGAAGAAGAACGTTGCGAGAACTGCTCCGATGGGCGCAGGAACGACGAGGAGCAGCCTGACTATCGATTTATCGTCAGCTCGTGCTTCGAGCGCATGACGATAAAACGTTACGAGTTCTCTCGGCAAAACCACCCACGAGGGTCGAGGCACGCACGCTCTATAGCTTCGCCTGCATTACGTCTCCCAATTGCGTATGTTTGTGCGCACGATAAAGCCGGCACGACAGAAAGGGAAGTTCGCTTCGATATGAGCAGAAAAATGGCCAATCTCGCCGAAGCTGAAGTCACTTTTCGCGTCGGTACTTTTTCCTCACTCCGGCGCGAAGGCCTCACTCGACACTCGAAAGTGTCCTCGTCGATATTTCGCAGCAGACGTACCCGCTAGAGGAATGACTCCTCTGGCGATAATTATTTCACCGTGCCATTGCGAGCACAAGTATCGATATTAATTTAATTAATTAAAATAATGTTGGAAAATTGAGTATCAGTATATTATCAATTTGAGAGACGCACTGCTCAGGTAAATATATCAGTCGCAAAAGATCGAAGATAGTGAATGGTCTCAGTACATTTGTCCTTACGAACGGTGAATATACATTAAAGACCGCAATAATAAATATTTTCTTCGCGGTGATCTAGCGGGGAAAATTAATCTTCTGGGGATCGTCAGGCGAAAAATTTTCCTATTGATTCGATCGTCGATAAAAAAGAAAATGTCGCAACTTTTGCGCCCCTGGCCGAGTGTAATGTGCGTACGCCCGCAATGGCGCGATAGATGATCGTTCAGACCAGTCAACGAAGTCAGTCGTGGTCAAGAAGGGTCATCGGGCGGTTCCGGGACACCCGTAGAACCAGTTGCGGGACGCGCAGGATGTCTGCGCTCGGCTATATCCAGCCGGTGGTCCCAAGCGAAGGATCGAACGCGCGGTCGGGAGCGAAAGAGAGAGAGAGAGAGAGAGAGAGAGAGAGAGAGACGGAGAAGAGGTCAAACTTGAGGGTGTGGGAGCCGAGGGGGATGGGGAGAGAAGAGAGAGAGAGAGAGTCCTGTCACCTCTGTCGCTACAGACCGCGCGGCGCCTCACGCTCCAAGTCCGCGGTTAATTACTTAGCGACGATGCGATCCGAAATGAGCCGAAACGATTCCGTCCGGAATAAGCGAAGCCGTTCGCTTCGCAGGATTAGTTTCGATTACATTGAACGCGATCGACGAGGAGAGCTGCCGGAACAAGTGGACGGCTGGGGAGAAAGTCGCACGAGTGATATTGTTTTATCCGGTTTTGAGAACTCTTTTTTTAAGATTTGCTTTGTTATACATCTTGATATTATATATATCCATTATACATATTGACTGTCGTAACGAGTCATTTGGGACTTTTCGGGGAAAGTGGAGGAGTCACAGTTTCATGTTCCATAAGTTTTGTACATGTCATGAATTTTATTTTTCATATCTTACACGGATAATATATATTTTTCGTATTTTTTGGAACAACGTATGCGCAATCTCGATATAAAACTTTTCTTCTCACGTACATCATTCCGTTGACTAGGTACGACGATAAAAATAGAATCGTTTCGTTTTGCCTGAAAAATCCGAAATCATTCATCAACGCGCTACTCAAAGCGTGTATTCCACGTGCTCAAACTAACGATGCAATCGTTGGCGTTGTTCAAAAAGTATCCTTTGCGCAACGTTTGTTAATGGAGAAAAATAACGTCGTTATCGAGCCGCTGTTGACAAGAGCAAGTTGTCGCGGTAAGAGCGTCGCAAGGAAACTTCCCAATTCCCCTGAAATATACACAGAGATGTCTGTATGGAGCCATTTGGAGCGCGTTGAGCAGACGAATGAGAAAGCAGTCCGGGAGGACGTTTCCATTGAACGTTCCAAACTCGGCGAATTCTACGTTCCACGGGGCTTTGTTTTCGGCCAAGTAACGACTTATTTTTCCGCTTCGTTTTCAGAGCGATCCCAGCACTGCGTTTCTACGGGCAGCTCGCGCTGGGCAGCTCGAGAAGGTCTTGGAGTACTTGGAGTCCGGAGTGGATATCAACGCTTCTAACGCAGTGAGTCGCCGATCTGTCTCGTTCTCTCTTTTGTCCTTTTCTCGTGAATCAAGCGTGTAATGCATACCCGGGAAATGACAATTCAAGTCTCGAAAGGCTTGTTTTGGCAGTATTATCTAGCGCTCGATCTGGCTCCTCGCGCCAGCTTGGCGCCGCGCCCAGCGTGAATTTGTCTCCGACCGTTTGTGAACGTTCCAGTTCGCTTCTTCAGAAAGAGAGGAGCCGTCAGGTGTTACTCTCCGTGAAAAAGGGAAGTGAAATATTCACGAAACGTCGGGAGGACACAAATCCGCGAAGAGGATGCCAGGCCGCGAGCATCGCGGAAGCTTGAAAGATCAATGTTACCAATTCGTCGTGGAAGTATCGAGAGAAAGAACGTGCGCGCATTGTGTGTCTCTTTGCAGAATGGCTTGAACGCTTTGCACCTGGCAGCTAAAGACGGCCACTTGGAGATCGTGAGGGAGCTCCTAAATCGCGGTGCGATCGTAGACGCCGCTACTAAAAAGGGAAACACGGCGTTGCACATAGCTTCTCTTGGTGAGTGGTTTGAGCTGAACGTTCTCTCTCTCTCTCTCTCTCTCTCTCTCTCTCCTCTCTCTCTCTCTCTCTCTCTCTCTCTCTTTCCCTCGCGTCTACTTTCGCGTACGAGCGTGTGCGCGCTTCGTTGCTCATTAAATGCATAGGGGACAAGGACGCGAATGATTTTAAACAAACATTTATTTCATAAGACTCGCGAGCTCTCGAGATTCTCGTCGTAAATGTCGTCTCTCGGGAACGTGTCTGTCTCTCTGTGACTTCACCTCTCTCTCTCTCTCTCTCTCTCTCTCTCTCTCTCTCTCTCTCTCTCTCTCTCTCTCTCTCTCTCTCTCTCTCTCTTTTCGCCTCTGCCGGATAATGGAAATTCGCCCGACACCGAGGTCTCCTGTTGCTTCTTTTTCAGCTGGACAAGAGGAGGTTGTGCAATTGTTGGTGCAACGAGGTGCCTCCGTGAATGCACAATCGCAAAATGGCTTTACGCCGCTCTACATGGCTGCCCAGGAAAATCACGACTCTGTGGTCAAGTACCTCCTCAGCAAGGGTGCGAATCAGACATTGGCCACCGAGGTTTGTGTCGACGTTGTTCCGTCATTCTTCCCTTTGACGGGATTTTCCGCACGGCAACCGCCGGATCTCTCGGCACTTCTCGACATATCGAGATAACGAGATTACTCTCGTTGTAACCGCCATCGCTGATTCCCAATCGCGCTGTCGACGCTCAATTTTGGGTTTGAATCATCAGATATGCGCAATGGAGAAGAGCAATTCGCTCGCTCGTCTCCTCGACTCTTTATCGGCTGTGTATCTAATTCGATTACGACACGTAATCGGTTGCGTTTGATACGGGAGTTAATTAATCACAGCGTCCCCCTATCAACGAACGGCTGTCACTGCAAGGCACTGTCAATCAACGCGTTAATTCGTCATCTTCTTTCTTATCAATTCTCAACATATATATGTAATATTTCCGATTAATTTAATGTTGGGTGCACGGTATAATACCGGTTTTCTTGCCGGTTCGTACGCTCACGTTTCTCTTTTGTGCAGGACGGTTTCACTCCGTTGGCGGTGGCTATGCAACAGGGTCACGACAAGGTAGTAGCCGTTCTGCTAGAAAACGACACTCGTGGTAAAGTTCGACTGCCAGCCCTACACATCGCCGCGAAGAAAGACGACTGCAAGGCGGCCGCCCTACTTTTGCAAGTGAGTTGTAAGGCGCCTTGTCAGTCGCGCGCGCGCACGACCGCCGCTGCATTTCAGACCGCGATGTAGAGCGCATTAGCAACAATAAGAGAAAATTAGTCCACGGCGCAATTCCTGCCTGGCTACAATTCCTCGAATTTCGTTGCCTTTGCAGAACGACCATAATCCCGATGTAACATCGAAGAGCGGTTTCACGCCGCTTCACATAGCGGCGCATTATGGCAACGACCGAATCGCCTCCTTGCTTTACGACAGAGGCGCGGATGTTAATTTCGCGGCGAAGGTGGGTGACTTTCGTTATGTAGAAACGCATGAACTTGAAATAGCATAAGCCAGGCTGATGTTAACCGCGATAATTACGTGTTCTTAAGTCTGTACTCACAATTCCCATTTAGCGTCGTTTATGATTATCGTTGATTAATTCGCTGATAAAATTCGAAGCATCGGGATATTAGAGACTCTAATATCTTTTGGAACATTGTAGATCTGTGTTTTTAATAATTTTAAATATCGAAGATTAGAAAATAATATATAGAGAAAATGAAAAGAAGCAAAAAGGAATATCGAAAAGATAAATATTACGACGTATCAGAAATTCTAAGATAATATTCCAAATATATATCAGAGAATATTCTGAGAATATTATAGAGAGAAGAATACTATTTTTTGGCATATTCTATTTTTATAATACATATAAACACACAAAATTGCAGCACAATATCACACCGATGCACGTGGCGGCGAAATGGGGCAAAATCAAAATGGTGAATCTCCTGATGAGCAAGGGGGCGAACATCGAAGCGAAAACGAGAGACGGTCTGACTCCTTTGCACTGCGCTGCCAGATCCGGCCATCACGAGGTAGTTGACATACTCATCGAGAAGGGGGCACCGATCGGCTCGAAAACGAAGGTAACGTGCCAAGCAACAGGTTAAACTCGCGCTCGTTCCGCGTGCGACGAACGCCGGCGGAGAGATCGTCGACGCTCAACACACTCGGTTTCCGTTGACAGAATGGTCTTGCGCCGTTGCACATGGCTTCTCAAGGGGATCACGTGGACGCCGCGAGGATCTTGCTGTATCACCGAGCTCCCGTGGACGAAGTGACGGTGGACTACCTGACCGCGTTGCATGTCGCTGCGCACTGCGGCCATGTGCGAGTGGCCAAACTGCTTCTGGACAGGAACGCCGATCCCAACGCGCGGGCGCTCAATGGATTCACTCCCCTTCACATCGCGTGCAAGAAGAATAGAATAAAGGTGGTGGAACTGCTTCTCAAGCACAAAGCTAGCATCGAAGCTACGACTGAGGTATGAAATCTCGCCGTATGAGTTTCTCTTCTTCTGTCACATTGAAACACCTTCTCTGCGATGATTGTCACGAAGAGCCTGACGGATCTCTATCTTGTCTTGCCCGTAGTCTGGACTAACCCCATTGCACGTAGCGAGTTTCATGGGGTGCATGAATATCGTGATTTACTTGCTGCAACACGAGGCCAGCCCCGACATACCGACAGTGAGAGGCGAAACGCCATTACACTTAGCTGCCAGAGCGAACCAAACCGATATTATTAGGATACTTCTTAGGAACGGTGCCCAGGTCGACGCTCGAGCAAGAGTGAGTATCGCGCTCTTCGTCGAATGTAAATTTCAAAAGTGTACATTGGTTGAGAGACCGAGAAAAAGGCCTAAGACAGCCGTTCGTGATAAGTAATATCTTGTATCTGGCAGTTTAATTGGATCGACGTCGATAATCGAAACGCTGCTTGTGCTCGCAGGAGGAACAGACACCGCTTCATGTCGCTTCCCGCTTGGGTAACGTCGATATCGTGATGTTACTGCTGCAACACGGTGCAGGAGTAGATGCCACAACGAAAGATTTATACACTCCGCTTCATATCGCTGCTAAGGAGGGCCAGGAGGAGGTGAGGTTATACTTATACAGGCGGCTTGATACATGACTTGATTAATTTTCACAGAGATATGTATCTCGTAACGTTCTTCTCCCGCACACACGCAGGTTGCATCCGTATTACTAGAAAACAGCGCATCGCTTACCGCAACGACCAAGAAAGGATTCACCCCCTTGCATTTAGCGGCCAAGTACGGCAACATGAACGTAGCGCGATTATTGTTACAGAAGAACGCACCCGTTGACGCTCAAGGAAAGGTAAATGCATTCCCCTCCGAAATCATGTACCCTGAATTCGAGACTTTTGCAAGATTGTTGACTCGAGTGAATTTAGAGTTCGTGCGCTCGTGCGCTAAAACGTTTCTTTCTACTCTTGTCAGAACGGGGTGACGCCTCTTCACGTAGCGTCCCACTACGACCATCAGAACGTGGCTTTGCTTTTGCTCGACAAAGGAGCCTCACCTCATGCCATGGCTAAGAACGGACATACACCTTTGCATATTGCCGCACGCAAGAATCAGGTACGCTCTCGACGATTTCGATCATTGCTAGCGAACACGACGGCGGCCAAGGCCAAGGAGGCAAATTAATCACTCTCATCTGTGATAGATGGACATCGCAACTACTTTGTTAGAGTACGGAGCAAAGGCCAATGCGGAATCGAAGGCGGGTTTCACGCCGTTACATTTGAGTGCACAAGAAGGCCACACTGATATGTCGACTCTTCTTATCGAGCACAAGGCGGACACAAATCACAAAGCGAAGGTGGGTGTGAAAGAACGAAGAACGCGATGCGATCTCTGTCGGTATTCCCGTTTATCATCGTGCTTTGTGTTACAAATTTCTTTTGCTTATCTTTGCAGAATGGCCTTACGCCTTTGCATCTATGCGCACAAGAAGACAAAGTGAACGTCGCATCCATTCTCGTGAAGAATGGCGCCCAGATCGACGCCAAGACCAAGGTAACACGCCGATTCGATGATTGGCCCTCCCTCCCCCCTGTTAAGTGTGCAATCGTGGTGCGTAGTTGAAAACACGGTGCGCGCATCATGATCACGGCGGCAATGTCAACGACTGTCGCGTCTCTTCGCGTTTAGCGGCGTTAGCGCTCTGTGCATAATTCAATTATCGCGGCTGATGTAATCTTCGCTGGCGAGACTGTTCGTTGCTCCGTGCACGTGCCATTGATAACACACCTTGAAGCGCTCGCTCGTCCACGCGATGCAGTGTAGTCAGGCGACTGTCGTTGGTCTCGGAGCATCGCCGAAGCAACGAACAGGTTGCACTGAAGGACACGGTAGAATATCCCAAACAGAATGAGTGTACATGAAGCGGCAGAATCGAAAGTCGCCGAAAAACGCATCTTCGCGCGTCTTCTTCCAGGCCGGATACACACCGTTGCACGTGGCGTCACACTTCGGCCAAGCAGCCATGGTACGATTCCTCCTGAGATCCGGTGCAGCCGTTGACAGCAGCACCAATGCCGGCTACACTCCCCTGCATCAGGCCGCGCAGCAAGGACACACCCTGGTCATTAATCTGCTCTTGGAGAGTAAAGCTAAACCGAACGCCGTGACCAACGTGAGTGATCTTGTTCTGTTGCCAGTTGCTATTTCCTACTTTGCTTCTTTTCTCTCGATGGCAATCTCGACGTTCAATACGTCTCTAAATGTCTCTTTGCAGAACGGGCAGACCGCTTTGGACATCGCACAAAAACTCGGCTACATCAGCGTCATAGAAACGCTCAAGGTCGTCACGGAGACCATCATCACGACCACTCACACCGTCACCATCGAGGAGAAGTATCGAGTTCAAGCGCCCGAGTCTATGCAGGAGACATTCATGAGCGACAGCGAGGACGAAGGGGGTAAGTACTCGTATCTGATCACGCAGAAGCATCTTATCTTCTTTTCTATTCTATCGCTGCTTACTACTGTCCATCTGCTGCGCGTTCTATTGATGGGGACTCGCGATGTTGGAACGAAAGTGGAGATTTAAGGTCGACTCTCACTATCCGCCGAAACCGGTGACAAGAGGCAGGAGTCTGTTAAATCAAAATATTCATCAATATTTTTCATAAATGGGGATAATTGAAACGTGTGACATTGAGTGACGGGTGTTGTGAGTATTTCAATGTTGGGCCTTAAACGATTGACATTTAGGTTGACTAAGACAATCAAAATTAATATCGAGTAAATCGTGGCATCGTGATTGTTCCAATTGATTTACTTTAACTTGATTGATTACTTACTGATTAATAGTTGATCAATTAATCTCGTCAAGATCTTCCGAGGCAGAAGCGTCGAAGAATATTCCGATGGACGGAATATGCCACCTGTCGGACGAATAGTGAGAATCAATCCTTGATCGGGCGATATCGCCGCCGCCGCCGCCGCCGCCGCTGTTGTTTCCGATGTCGCGTCAGTTTTCGTGAATATCGCACAGCTTCTGTCGCTTAGCGTAACTATTATGTTGTCGCCTTGCGTGATAGGTCTTTGACGTTGAAGCGAAGTAGGAGCAGTACGTACGAGAGATTGAGAGTTGATAGCAAAAAAGAGTAATATACACGCAGTAGGGCTTTCGCTTCAGTCGACGGCGCAGCTATAGACGATAGACACTATTTGATCAATTAACCCTTTTAGTCCCGATCTTCTTTTTTTTTCTTCTTTTTCAAGAGGGAGCTACATTTTCCTCCTCGTATAAACATTACCTGTGCGCCGTTATTATCGTAGCGTATTACCGCAACGCACGCAGCGTAATTGAAATAGGGTAGATCCCAGAGAGCGATGAGAGAGAGGCTCTCTCTCTCTCTCTCTCTCTCTCTCTCTTTCTCTTTCGGTAGAAACGTACTACGAGGACTGCACGGCGAGAATTGATAAGAAGCAGGACGGGTAATGAGTCGTTGTTGCATGAAAGTGGAAATTACCAGGACGTAATTAAAAAGAGTAGAGCAGATAGTAATGCGCAGTGGTAACACGACGAGGTCGCTGCTCGTCCGTGCGACGATGGTGTGGTAAACGCGAGGTCTAGGTAGAAGTGCCCGATTAACCACAACAGTAGATCGCTCCTGAGAGCGATGCAGTTCCCCACGCATGCCCGCGTACGATATATGCATGATACCGGAGCCCGGCATGGAACCCGAAAGGGAAAGAAAAGGCTGCTAAGAAGTACCCGATGTAGGAGAAACTCTCGTATATCCTCTCCCGATCCACACGATCACAGGCGGGACGGAGCAAAGCGCGCGACGTAGCGGGGACGGTTAGAGCGAGACGCGAATCTTTTCCAAAGGGAGGGAGAAGAAGTTGTACCTCCACTTCCATTCGTGTGTATTTGATCGACGAGAGGTCTCTTCAGGTCTTTTGAGTTTTTCGTCCGCGAAACCGGCGAGAGAAGCGGGCAAGTCAGATGTGCTATCGATGGAACTATTATTTGCTTGACTGTTGCGTTTATGTTTACCTTCATTTCGCAAGAGCATGCATTTTAGCCGATACTCACTGGGTTGTTGTCTATCGAGTCTCTCGAACGAACGAAACAGAGTCGATGTCGTTTCTATGGACACACGAGACACGTCGCGCGGTGAATTGTATTAAACGCGAGAAACTTGCCGTTCCTGACGGAAGCTCGCGGGATTCGGCATCGCGCTTGGAAGATATCTCGATTTGCGTCGGCAGACGCGATTTCCACAAGGCGCTCTCTGAGCTCTCCCGAGAGGAGTTTCACTCACCGAGTCTCTTGACTTCGAGTGACTCTTCGTTCACAAGGATGAATCTAAAGCTTCGTAGATGCAGTCGTATTCCTGAGCGACTAGCGACCTTTGAAATTTTCGATCAAACGCGTATCACAGCTAAATACGCTCGCGTACAGCGACCGTCGATTAACAACAATTGCTGAACAATCGACGGCCACGTGTTGCACGAACATTCAGAGCGATAAGCGATATGCGCGATGCCGACTGAAAATTTCAATTGTCACCGTGCCGAGGAGCGGAGGTGCAATTTACGAAGCTCTGTAATGCTCTGTAAATCGGCTTTCATTCAAACGTCTTCCTCGGGCGCAGTGCAGCTTTCTGAAAAAGTAAAAAAATTTCGGCTGTGACTCCGCTCGGCGAGCTTCAAAGAGCAGGTCTAAATTGCGATACGAGGAAAACTCGAAGGCGCGCGTTCCCGCACGACTCGTACGATCCGTGTGAAAAGCTCCCGGGCCCTAAAGGTTCAATTACTGTTTGCAGCATGGCGATTTCTTTGCCACACTGTAGGGACACTCGAGAACACGTCCCCACTCTTACGCGAGTATTATTCCTGGTTCGAGCTCTCTCTCTCTCTCTCTCTCGCGCGCGCGCTGAGAGCGAAAAAGGGCAAAGGGCTTGCATTTGTGTAGACGCCAGCCGGGGACAGGGTGTTGCGACACGCGCACACACAGCGACTCTCGTCTTGCGGTTTTGCTTGCCGGCTAACGAAACAGGGGAGAGAGAGAGAGAGAGAGAGAGAGAGAGAGAGAGAGAGAGAGAGAGAGAGAGAGAGAGGGAGAGAGAGAGAGAGAGAGAGGGGGAGAGAGAGAGAGCGAGCTTAAAGAAACTTAAGGGGTAACATCTGACTGAACGCCTGAAAACACAGAATAAGTTTGGGAATTTTTTGTAGTTAAATAACAACATAGGTGGAAAATTGGTTTGAAGGCCTCTAACGTGCATACCTTAAACTACACAAAACAATTTTTTGTTATTATTTTACCTCAAGATGGCGACGCTGAAGTTCTCCAAGTAAGACCGCATTTTTCTCATGGGCGGTCCCCGCGGCTTGCCGCATAAATGCCGTACACTTTCAAAAAGGACAAAAAGGCAAAATTTTTGTTAATCTACATTAAATTTGCTGGAGAAGTACACAAGTACAGTATATGTTAAAATATTGATTTTTGTAGAAATGGTGAACATTAGGAGAAAAGTTTCAGTTTTATCCCAGAGATTCAGTGGAAAAATATTTATAACAACAAAAGTTTTAAACCGATCATAAAAATCATGTGTACTTCTCTAGAGAATTTAGTTTAGCAGCTACTGTAAAAAATTTCGAGAGTGGATCGGATGAAATTTGTTAAAGTTCTGCTGCAAGCCAATTTGTAAAACGCTGTAGTTCTCCAAGTAAAACGTGGTTTTACTTGGAGAACTACAGCGCCGCCATCTTGAGGCAAAATAATAACAAAAAATTTTGTGTAGTTTAAGGTATGCACATTTAGAGGTCTTCAAACCAATTTTCCACCTATGTTGTTATTTAAAATACAAAAAATTCCCAAACTTACTCTGTGTTTTCAGGCGTTCACTCAGATGTTACCCCTTAAAGAAAGCATCTCTCGCGCTCGCATCTCCTCCGCAGGCTCTCTCTCTCTCTCTCTCTCTCTCTCTCTCTCTCTCTCTCTCTCTCTCTCGACGGTACTCACCTCTCTGCGTGTAGGCGTGTAGGCCACATACTTTTGCACACACTAAACAACCCAGTGATAGCGAAACTTAGACACAGTGTATATGGTGCGAAACTAGCGTTTCTGATGAAACCACATGACCTTACCTCGACGGCGTACTCGATGTAGGTGGTGATGAAATCGGCACCGCAGCCATGAATGTGTACGGGCAGCCTCCGCACGCGCAACACGTGTACCTTCCTTCTTACTACCAGGGCCAAATGACCTATACCCGTAAGTTGTCTGTAACTCTGTTTCTGTTCACACTCTCTCTCTCTTTCTCTCTTTCTCTCTTCCTTTCTTTCTCTCTCTCTCTTTCTCTCTCTCTCTATCTCTGTCTCTCTGTCACGCGGGTGTCACCGTCCGTTCACCCGTCCTGCCGGGAAATATATATCATATACGACGTACACCATGCAGCACTCTTTCGGCAAAAAAAAAAAAAGAAGAAGAAGAGAAAAGGGAATTAGCGCAGGACAATCGTCATTGGACTCTCGAGTCCGCCCGCTCCTGTCATTTCCGATGATCGGAGCGGAGCGTCGAGTCGAGATGACGCGCTGCTCGCATCATCATCGTCGAGCACAACACAACGACGCACACGAGAGTTAGCGCACCGATCATCGCCGTGATCATCGTCATTGCTGTTGCTATCTCGCCGGTGTGTGTGTGTGTGTGTGTGTGCGTGTGTGCGTGTGTATGTGTGTATGTGCAAGCGAGAGACGCGTCATATCACGCTCCGCTCATTCACGTAAGCTTCTCGTGTGCAGCATCGCTCGAGTTCGCTCGTTACATCGCGCGTGTCATTGTTGTACATGTTGTATAAGAGAACACGCACGGACACACCCATCCCTCGCCCGCTATTTCTATCACATTTATTATTTTGTTCGCCCCCTCCCCCTTTCCATCCCTCCTCTCTCACCAGCTCTTGTACCATGAGTTTTTTTATTTTCGATGACGGCGGCGCGACTCCCGCTGACCGTCGTCGCTAGACGTATCTGGAACGGAGTTGTTTGATTGCCGTGCTAGATTTTTTTTTTTTTTTTTTTTTCTTTTGTAATTCCATGTCCCCCGAGCAGGATTAAAAAGGCCCGCTCAGGAGAGAACGCCGTTCGGATCGGAGAGATCAGATGATCTGATCGTTCTCTGGGCGAGAGTCAGAACAGCGACTTGCGTCGCACGACGAAGAGGCTGAAGGCTAGAGTTGTGCGAATCAAAAATTTTTATGTCGAATCGAATCGAATTATTAAAAAATTTAACATGACTATTAAACATGCGAGTAATGGTGGAAGATTTTAATATGAAAGGGAATATTGGTATTGTAATATTATCTTAAAGTAAAATATATATTTAAAATAATTTATAACTAAGTTATTAATTACAAGTTAAAGGTTCAAACATCAAACAGGCTCAGATGGCCCGTTTTGTGACGCGCGCAAACAATAATATATTTGATTCCTATTCGAATTCGAATCATATGGATTCGGATTCGAATAGTTCGCACATCTCTACTGAAGGCGTACGCCAAGTATCCGACATTTACGCGTAAAATTGCTTCTTAAAAGCGACTGTTGTCACGTCGCTTTATTGTGACTCGTTACTCGAGCAGCAGCGAGTCGATCCGCTCTTCCATCTAATTTTCAAGACCCTCCGCAGTGAGAGCATCTGCACGCGCGAGGTAACGCTTACCCAGCAAAATGTAAGTTTATTGTTAACGTGAAAGAAAATGATACCGTTAGCGAGTCGTCGCCGAGAGAGATAATTTGCGCGCCTTACGAGCGATTTGACACTGTCTGCCTCCAGCCTTGAGAATGTCCAACGTATACATAGGAACGTGCGCGGGAACACACGTGGTTCTCAAGGAAAACGAGCAGCGGAAATCGATCGCGAAATGCGCTTCTGCTCGCTGCATCTTCTTCCCGCTGGAGAAGCGACGCATGCTGAGGTATGCTGATTTGAAATCGATTTAATCGAAGATCGATTAATCGGAGCCTAAAAGATCGATTTCAAATCGATTTTCTGGAACTGAATCGATTCAAGGATCCATCTGTAAATTCTGAAAATCGCCAATACGAATTTTTCAGTTTCTACTAGTAATATAGTTTTTTTTTTTTACTTCTTTTGGTTGTAACACTTGAACTCACTCAATGGTTGCACAATGCACATTATGTTGCTTTTAGACCGATGTCCCATGGGCGAGAATTTTCAGTGGAACGAAACGCGCGAGCGAACCAATCACAGCCACTCCATACAATAGTATATATTGTATACATATGTGTATGCATATAATAGTAAACGTGCTTTCTTATTTAATAACGTTTAATCAAACTAATTAAACTAATTAAACCCTTAGATTTGAAGATCTTTTTCTATTTTGTTCTGGCCACATATATACACAGAACGCAACCAAAAGAATACCGTATGTTTAATTTCTTTAATTCATATTAAAATTTAATTTCTTTAATTCATATTAAACTATATGAATCACACGAGGTCTACTTTAGACTGTAGAAGTTTGACAGATAATATACTTTAATGAGTGGTTCACTCTCACATGCATACCGATTCAAGTCGATTTTCTGAAATCGATTCTTTATAAACCGATTTTTTAAAGATCGATCTTTTCTCCCCGTGATTCGAATCGATCGTTAAATCGATCTGTTTGAGAAGAAAAAATCGGCATCCCCACGCGTGCGACGCGTGCGCAACGCGCGCATACGCACTCGCGCGGTGCGCTCGTGCGAATTACGCGAATTCCCACCGTTCTGCGCGTCCGCGATGGCGCATTTTCGCACTTGCGCGCGGAACGCGACGCGGTTCGGCCGCGGGTGAAGTATACAACAAACAACAACAATACGACGATAAGCGAAGAGAGGAGCCGCTCTCCCGCGTGGAGGGCCTCACGTGTGGCGCGGCGGCAGCGAATAAATAGGGCGTGCTGCCACTGTTAATGCAATTTACATAATAACGAGCTGCGCGATCATTACACCGCGCCGACCGGCGCGCATCGGCGTCCTCCATCTCCACCTCCTCCACCGCCACCTCCTCGCCGTCGTCGTCGTCGTCGTCGTCGTCGTCGTCGTCGCCGTCGTCGTCGGTGGCTTCGTAGTCGTAGTCGTATAATCAACGTAAAGTCGTAGTCGTAGCCACACAAACACCGCCCTCCACTTCGGCTACCTGTTATGCAACACACAGTCGGTGTGCGTGTCGTGTCGCGTTATTAGTGCAGTTAGTCCAACCCCTGCCGCGCTTGGCGTGCCGCCAAATACAATTCCGGACTGAAATAATCTCGAATTTATATAACACCACCCGTGCGAGCGGCCGAAAAGGGAGGAGAGAGGAGAGACGAAGAGGCGAGGAGGCGAAAAGACGAGAGGAAAAGGAAAGGAGAGGAAAAGGGACGGAAGGACAGAGGAGCGCAAAATACTGCGCGCAACATACCGGCGCGCTCGCGCGTAATCGAGGCCGCGAAATCCCGCCAAGTGCGAAGAGCGACTTCCAGCCGCGCGAGAACTTTTTTCCGAAATCGCGCGCATTCGAGCTAGGCGAGTGCGCGACGTTGCGCATCTACGCGATTCGGAGTGGCGAAATCCCGAGGGGGGTCCCGCTGATGTCCCTCCCGGTCTCCGTTGGAATTTTCTTCTCAATCTTCTCTCCCGCTGAATACAACAGTCGGTTTAACTGCGAGATGCCTCGCTCGATATTGTAAAAGTGCACCGTCGTTTATTGATCGGGAAAAAGCGCGAGGACTTTTGTGTCTCGACTCCAGCAGAGTCCCAGGAGAACCCGGCAAAGCTCCAATTTGCGGAACCTGTGCGACACCCGGAAAGTATCCATGTGGAAATCCTTCGTCCTCCTCAGAGTCCTCCCGCGACCCGACGCCGGATCATTCTCGCGATCGCGATGACCGAGTCGGCGATTTTGCGGAATTCCACGGACGAGGGAGAGGCGGCGAAGACGAAGAGAAGAAAGAACAACGAGCGTTATCGACGGCCTCCCGCCGGCTTCTTTTCCTGCCGCGGCTTGAACTTTGGCCTAATCGCGGCGAGCCGGGGGGCATACATTATCTGCAATCGACTTTGTTCGCAATCACGAGTCGCCCGACGGATTTAATCGCGCAAATCGCCCACAGCGAAACACCCTCGCGTGCGTGCCGCGTGTATTGTTCCCGCGCCCTGCGAGAGAGAGAGAGAGAGAGAGAGAGAGCTCTCGCGCGCTGAATAGAGCGACGGCGCGAAGACGGCTTCAAAGACGGCGGCAAGTTACTATTATAAAATTGGTGATTCACAGAACGAGGTCGGTCGGCAGGCAATGGAGAGTCCTGCGCCGCGCCTGCACGAGTCTTCGGCAAGTGAGCAGTCGCTGTTCCTGACCCCCGCGGAGCGAGAGCGCCACGCGCGTGTGAAGAGCACGAGGGAAAGGCCGAGAAGCAGGAAGTGAAGCTTTGCCGCGCGCTTCTAATGCAATTTGACGAATTGAATCTTGTAATCAAGTGGCCCGTCCTCGTCTCTGTCTCTCTTCCTCCCGAGCCGGCGTTGCCTCGCTCTCCGCAGCCGCTCTCGTCGCCGGCCCCCTGATACAGACCCCGGCCGCTCTGATAGTCGAAGAGAGCAAAGTGAGGCCATCCGCGCGATAAGCCGTTACTATTCGCGCGATAAGCGGAGGGACGAGATAGATTTAACGTTCGCCGACAGGCAGGAAGCAAAGGCAAAAGGGCAAGGATAGACGGACGACAGTGCGCCGATAAGCAGCCGGTAAACTGTACCAATTGCCTCGATAGTGCTGGGAATATTGGCACCACCGAAAGCACCACCGCGCCGCCGATGTGTCGTCACACAGCTGCGTCACACAGATCGTCCTTTTCCCGCGGCCGCCATATCGTACCACCTGCACAGGCCGCAGTGCACGCGTTGCATATGCGATTTCGGACGTACGATCTGCCGGACGGCGCGCCGCGATAGTGTCTCTTCTTCGGTGCGACTCAGTCGACGACTCTCGAGGATACGGGACGGTTCTCCAGGAGGGTCCGGTGATCGAAAGGGGAAGAGGAGGAGGAGAGGAGGACGACGACGAGGACGTCCGGGAGATTCGCGGGGCGCATCTCATATATCGATAAGAGGGCAAGACCGGCAAGATGGTGAAGGGCAAAGCGAAGAAGAAGGCCTCGCCGTTCACGTGCGGTTGCTCGTGCAACTGCGGCAGCAGGAACAGCGACGTATTGTGTAAATATTGCGCTATCT